CTTTCCCCACATTCCCTTTCCCCCAGCACAGAAAGGTGAAATCAAATGGTTTTGAAACTAGGATGAATTCTTAGAAGGTTCTGCCTCCCAGCTTTGCATCTGATCCATTATGTCATGCTGTCACTGGATGCCACTAGGGCAGTCAAGTAGTATAATACATGTTAATAGAAAGGGCTGTGTACCATGCTGGGCTTTAATTGACATGCCACTCCTCTATTCATTCCTGTTCTTAGAGAGACAAGCCCCATTTATGGGAACTAGGAGGTGGGTGGTCTATTTGTAGGTCCTTTCCACATGGGTGCTAACAGCAGTTCTAAACCATTCCAAGCCAAATCAGTATCCAAGCTCCATTACACATCTCAATGCTTCCAAACAAAGCACAGGCAGTGACACTAACCAGTCTAACGATAATAAAAGCCACTAATCCTCTTCCTTTAGAGACATGGAAAGGTGGGTAAAAGTAAGGAGACCTTTGAACTCCATTATGTAAGCAAGTAACTCTGCCCAGCTCCTCAAATACTCACGTGTCCTGAACAAAGGCATGGATTTTGGCTAGGGCCTTGATCTGAACTTTACAGTGTCTGGAAGAGATAACAGGTTTCAATCAGAGAACAGGTTAGCAGCAACCCAAATTCAAAGAATGATGAAGCTGAAGACCCCTGGAGTAACTATGGGGTGACTGTGACCGATCCACGTCACAATTCAGTTTGCCATCATGGTGGTCAGAAGGGCACTGGGAAATAGAGGGCAGCATAGCCTTTGCATTCCCATCACTGTGGGTCAATACCTCTGGAATTTTTTACGGGTAAAAGCTCACCAGCCATTTTGATCTCATGCAGAATTTCTGCCCCTGCTGGATCAGTGTGTCCCCTACAAGGTCTCTCATAACTGAGCAACCTGAGTGAAAAGCTGTCTGTGACCACAGACAGCTGCAGGGTGAAGTGGGGCCTGCCTGACTTGCTGGAGCCAGGTTTCCTTCTAGCAGCATCTGCACTCACTTTTCATTTGACTGCATCATGTAGTCATAGAATTCTTGGTCGCCCTTAATCACATCCACAGGGACAACAAGATTCACATCCAGGTTGGAGTTGCGGAGCTGGTTGAGTTTGATGTTCACCATGAAGAGGTACTCCCGGACATCATCAATCCCCAGCTTTAACCCTTTGCATACTACATATCTGCAAAGCAAGCCAGAGAGTCCACTTGAAATCGGCTCATCTGCACTGCCAACTTTCCTCTTTGACCTCTCCCTACCTCAGCAGCCCTCTAGCTTCCCTGAGGCCAGGATTTACTTTGCCCGATGGTACTTCCATAACAGTTCAGAGCTGTTATATATCCACTCTCCTTTTCTACTCTGTGCAGCAGTTGGAAATCCCAACTCTTTACCAAAACTCACAGCGTTGACAAGCTCAACTCTCTCTAAGGCCATAAGCCAGCAGAGCCAATGCCAAGTAGTCAGTTTTAATTCTATTCTGGCTGCAGGTGCTGCTAACCTGTTACTAGCCCACCACTGTACTGTACGGCCTAGTATGAGAGTAGAAATGAAAGGCAGGGCTTCCTTGTATAGACTCATGCATTTCTCATGCTTTCATAGCACACACTAGCATCTGAGGGGCAACAAAATCAGCATGGCCCTTCAAAAGAACAGAACCTGGGACTGGGTCTCTAAAGATTTAGTTCCTAGTAGGGGCTCTGGCATAGATTCCCTGTCTTGCTCAGTTCAGGGCCTGCCTAAGACACCACAGAAATTAAGGAGGACAAGAAATATAGGGTACCAGATGAGGGTGGTGTGTGTGTGGAGGTGGAGGGAGGAAAAAGGGGAGAACTCCAAGTGCACCCAAGTGCAGGAAGGATGTTTGAGGATGGCAATAAGTACTCAATAGAGTAAGAGGGGTGAAGACATAGACAAGTTCTTCAAAAGCAGATATTCTTTTTGCTCTGTTGACAAAAAAACCTCCCTTGGCATGCCTTACAAGAGCTTGGATTTGCTCTTGTGGCCACTCCCATCCCACAAAAGCAGGATGGAATATGCTGCACACAGTAGGTGGCTGCTGCCCTCCTCCCAAGACCCTGCTGCATTTCAATGGTGCACCATGAATAGCTTGCAAAGCATTACAGAACCTGCAGCGATTGAACACACACCACAGAAATATGTGGCCAGATCCTTAGGCTACTTCATGTGAAACAGACCCCACTTTCCATTGAACTGCATTGTTCTCAAACTGGAAGCTGATAACACAGACAGAAGCAGGCCACGGGCTTTTGGTAAATACACGGTCATTCTCCAACTACTTAAATATTTCTTCCTCCCAGATGGTTGCTAGCTGGTTCTCAGAGTCAGATCTGCAGTTATACAAATCTATCTACCAGGTTTTAGAGGAAAGGGCTGCATTAATTCCTTGGCCTCAAGAATCGTACCTCTCTGAATTAGCAGGACGGCTTGTCACAGGTTTAAAGATACACACTCGCTCAAAGCAGCAGTACAGCAAATACACCAGCCCCACGGTGAACGGAGTAAACAGGTCAAATGTTTTGCAGACAAAGTGTCCTCCTGGAGCAGACAGAGGAAGCACATTGCAGCCAGCAGGCTACAAGGAGAGAAGGGAAATATCAAGTGTCCTTCCCCCCCACCCTGTAATGACCAAGAATGCTTAAGTACAGTTAAAAGGTATCCTAGCAAGATGGATCAACGATCCTGCAAAGAAACAATTACCAGCCAGATGGAGAGGATGTCACTCTAATGCTGTGGATAGATGTAACTTTAAATCATTTTGGAAAGGAAATATACATCAGCTATCTCAGCTTAACTGTTATGTCTGTCCACTCATACTGGTATAGGAGTTAAGCTGGTATCACTTTAAACCTGTTTTGCTCAGGTTTAAAGGTATAATGATTTAGTTTCACTTATGTCAGTATAGGAAGAGACAGATGTAACAATTATATCAAGTAGCTTTAAACCAATATAATTTAATACCAGCATAATGATTATCTTTGCTTACACCAAATCAAACTGCTTGTTTCCTCTGCAGCACTCCCCAGACCTCCCACACAAAGACTTCTGGCCTGGCAGCTACACAAGCCTTAAAGAGCTCAGATCCGACCCAGGGAGCCTTATACTGGGAAAAACCAACTGGATATGAAATAGCAATCTAGTTCACTGAAAAATAGTTCCCCATCTTCGGCAGAGGGCTGTCTCTATCCTTTGCCGAAGATGAGGTTCCAGCTAC